GTCACTGGCCCCATGTGGGATTCAAACCGGGGCCCCGCTGCTCAGAGCTGGTGTCCCAAGCCAGCTCTTAACCAACATGCCACTTGGCCGGGCCTGTCGCTTTCACTTTTGAAAACAAACAGTAACTGGGAACCGGTGAAGCACCCGTAACCGTGCTGCCCTAAAGTGGGCTCCTCTGGCTGTGTGTGTGCTCTTGTGTGCTCATTGGAGAGGCGCGTCTGTGTCACCTGAATCGATGCAAATCCCAAAGTAACGAGAGGCTCTTTATGTCATTCCACACAAGGGTGAAAAGGTGGAGGGGCTCCAGGCACAAGCCCTGTATCCTTGGAGAGCCAAGAAAGATAACCATTTAAATTTTAACAAAAACGACATCATCACCGTCCTGGAACAGCAAGACATGTGGTGGTTTGGAGAAGTTCAAGGTCAGAAGGGTTGGTTCCCCAAGTCTTACGTGAAACTCATTTCAGGGCCCATAAGGAAATCTACAAGGTATTTTTGTGTTTATCTGCTTCTATTAGATGAAAACAATATCAGGCATTAAATTATTGTTTGCATGGGTGCAGATTCAGCTAGAAGTTGCAGGGTTCTTTTGTCTCCTGGATCTTTTAATGGCTAAAGTTAGAGTACGTGTCAACAAGAAGGAGCCTCTTACTGATAAATGATCATTTTTTTCCGTCCCTTATGGAAGCCTGCATATCTTGTTTTTCGTTAACTTCTGCAAAAGGGAATTCTACTCTGAGACCTGAAACATCCTTGTGGATTTGTTGGAGATCACGCTTCTCTTCATAAGCTTAGTAGCCACTTTCTGCCAGATGTATGTGAATACTTAGAGGCCCACAGCATTTGGGGAAGTAATTGTAAGAGTGAATTATCTTTTTCATTAGGAACCTTATAGCATGGAACTTTAACCGGGTTGTTGTCTAATTATTCCAACCATATTGATGTTCAGAACAACTTATGAGCTTTAAGAAGATAAAAATAGCAGAAGTATTGGCTGAGGCTCTCTCAGTCATGCTTTGAAATAGACCAATACGTTGACTGTCTGTCCAGCACAGCATAGTGCTGAAAACCAAGAGTGTAGACTTAGAATCAGCCTCTAGGACTTTACCATGTGTTTGAACTAAGTGCATCTATTTCATCTGTAGATTGTTCAAAGTTTTAAATGTTAAGCAGTTAAAAAAAAAATCAATGTCATTTGTTCTATTTCTTTGAAGATAACAATTAAAATACTTTTCTTCCACCCCACGCCTGCCTTTTTCAGCATGGATTCTGGCTCTTCAGAAAGTCCTGCGAGTCTAAAGAGAGTAGCTTCCCCAGCAGCCAAGCCAGCCGTTTCGGGAGAAGGTGAGAACCTGAGTCCAATTATGTTCTTTTGAAGGGTTGAGGAAATTATGTAATGCAAACAGCAAACGTTTGAACCGAGATGGGATGTCACTTTTAGGCTACGTTAATTTATGTTTAGTATATTTAACTCTAAGGTAAAGTGAAAGTTTAGCTGTTTCCAAAATCAGAATATTTTATGGAGACTTTTGAAATACTCTCAGATTTATTGATCATAAAAACGGAATTTTCTAATTACACTTGATTATGAGCCCTTTGACTTTTGAAAGCGGCCCATCGTAGTCACTGAGGATCAGGTTTTCTGACCATCTTTATTTATAGCTAGATTGTGGTCATTGCTGTTCTTTGACCTATACGTAGGTATTTCGTTTTGAAACCGTAACTATACAGTCCAGTAAAGCTGTCACAGTAACATCAGTGCCATCTGTACTGCCCCAAATGAAACAAGTTCAGTTTCCTATGTTCCATGTAAATAACCACACCAGATTATTTAGGCCTAAAAATTTCATTTTGAGTGTTTATTACACAAACAGTTAATTGCTTTATTTCCTGGTCTTTGTTTTGTGACATAATCCTAAGGATTGTATATGCTAATATATAGCATGGGCGTAAAAATGAACAAAACCTACATAATTCAGGCTCTAATGGCAAATTCTCATGTCTTTTCTATGTTCAATATAACCATTATCGTAGTACTAATTGAAGAGTGCTACCTGAGCCAGACAGGCTTTCCATGTAGAAGTCTGAACAATGTTTGCTAACAGATTATGCAATTATTTAGTAATTTTTCATGGGTTCCATGAATAAATTAATGAGGATAAAATGTTTTGTTTGATTTGTTTGCCATTGTGAGATTGTTGTGTTCCTTAGAAACCTTGCCTTACGAAAATTAGAATTATTAAAACAATTATTTCCATGGAGATAGCAAGCATTAAGGTTTAATGGTATTTCAGACCCACAGTAACAAAGTTACTTTTTCAGAAAGAATCTTACAAGTCAAAAAACATTTTGTTTTAGTTACTTTGTCGGTCACTAAACAAGTCCAGCATTTTATTGTAACCAGCTTTTGCTGTTACCACCAAAACAGTCATTAACATAGTTCTCTTTGTACATTCTTATCATCTTCATGATTTTTTTTATCTGCTCTTAGAACAAGGCCAAAAGTTCTATTAAATACAGCACCTGCAGTCAGTATCATATAAGGCAAATTATGACCTGCCTTCCCCACCCCCCATTAAGTCTCTCAAGCACCAAAGTTTACATCCTAGCTCCCTCACCTTGTAATTTTGGTCTTGCCTTAACTTCCTCATCTGTAAAGTGGGCATAATAACCACCCTTTCAGTTAGGACATTATTATAAGGATTATGAAATAATATATGTACTGTTTTTAGAATGAAGCTCAGTAAATTCCTGCTACTTTTATTTCCTCTTTGCTTCGTTTCCTGGATTATTGATAGAGCCACAGAAAGCAGTGAGCTTTCTTACTTGACAGCAGCGCTGATGAATGTCAGTATGTTTGGAAACATATAGAGGCCTCAACACTTGAGGCTTCAATACACAGGTCACAGATGAGCCACACACAAAGTTGGGCAACAGACGAGAGTTGAATTCTAATCTCAGTTGACATTTATTACACCCATTTTGAAGTGATTTAGATATTAGAAATATTAGGAAGGATTGCTGGCACCCTGGAGGGATGTGTGAGGACTCTGGCATCTGAAATCCTGAGAAAAGCTGTTGACACGTATTCATGAGTGGCTTATTCGGACTGCATTAAACATAATCAAATTTAAAGTAAGCCATAAACCAGATTAAATAGATTGTTAGTTTCAGTAGCTCTTAAAGTTTCCGCTTGGGGAAGACCAGTGCCCTGTGTCAAATGTCTCCAGAGGAGGGTCTCAGTAGGGAGACGCCACTGCGAGCCCATCTTCGCATCTCCTGGCTTCACTGAGACCTGAAGCAGCCCCGCGGATTCCTGTGTGCAGGGCAGGACACGCACAGCCGCAGTCTCCCCAGCCTCTGCTATCTTACACTGCAGTGTTAAGTTCAGCCGGAGTTCATGCTTCTGAAGTTTCTTCAGCATTTTCAAAGTTACTTCAAAATTCGGATCTGTTTTTGAGAAAGTGACTTTTGAGTGTAGGAATCACTGGGAACAGGATTGACTGCCAAGGATCCTATCTTCAGTGGCCAAACATGAGCTAAGAAACAAGTAACGGAGCAAAATGAAAAGGGAAGGGTCACAATATTGAGAAACCAGAAAAAAGGAATGTATTAACAGAAAAAGAACGTCCTTATGAAAGCTGCCAAGCTCTGATTTCCTTGTGTGGGAAATCGTTTTTCCAGCTTTAACTGTGGAGGTGTGTGTTACCAGCACTGGAGGGCTACACACAGAGAGTTTTCTGTTCTCCCTGGCACATTTGGGTGACCTTGTGTCTGCCGAGGGCCCGGCCCTCACCAGCAGCCGTGCTGGCCCCAGCCTACGGGTCAGCACTGCTGCGGTCCAAGCAGCCCTTGGAGAGCTCCCCCACATCGCAGAGCCGCACACATTAGCACAAGCAGTAGGGGGTTTTGTGTTCTTTTTGTGTTTGTTTTAGCTTTCACTAGTGCCCCCTGCAGAGGCTCTTACAATTAGCCAAAGGATTCCTCCATACCAAATTTCTGCCTGTTAATTAACCTTGGGCTCTGCATTGAAGCACGGTCATCTGAAGTTTTAGCGAGAAACATACAGAAAAATGAACTTTTCCATCAAGGGTGTTTTTTCATTGCCTTTTAAAAATTACACAAAGGCCTAGGATAAAATGGAGAAAAAGTGGGGGAAAAAACCTGACGTTCATCTTTCTGTAAATCTTTTATCCTGTCCCTAGTGTAGTATCTAGAATTTTGTGTCTAGTGATCTTTCTGAGCGTGTGACTTGGTTTCTAAGCCTTCATAAAATCAGCTGCTTATCATTAAAAAGAAGAATTTCCTCTGGAATGCGCAGCCTTCACATTCAAGACAGTGAAGAACATTAGTTCTTATTCTTAAGACGAAATTACATGAATAATAAACTGTAAGAAACTGTGATTTGTCATTTCAACTTGTTCAAAAAAGCTTGATGATTTCCTGGGATTGGCTTTCATCGTCAGCCCACTCTACCTGTTTATGCATTTGAATCACAAGTAGATGCCCATTTTTAACGAAATAACATATATTTTTTTGTTTTGTGTCTTCCAACAGCTTCCTACCATCTGTGTGTATGTCACAATAGGACATAAGTTTTCACTCAGGCCCTCGAATAATGAAAGCGTGTCTTACTTAATTTACATACAGGGCATACTGTATCTGAACATTTTCTAAAATCATGACTTGGTACCTTCCACAATGAAACACCGATATTTGATGGGCACACGGGGACCTGAAAGTCACTGCCTCTAACCCCATGCTCAGCACAACAGGGTACTCAGTAAATGTTAAACATAAATGGGAAAACCATTTGCATTTAAAAAAGAAATTATGCTGTTAAAGTGTAGATCGCTCTTGGTGGTACTCATGTTGGGAGACACACAATTGGGGTTTTTGGTCCTGTGACTGAGTCTCCCTGTCTGCAGTTACTGAATTGTTTTGTGCCGTTGGGGAATTTGGAGCCCAGGGTGTTCTGCAACTCCATATTTTATCTGTGACTAGCCTTTCTCATGAATGGGTCTTATTATCCTAACTTCCTTATTCATAAACTTGCTTTTGCAAAGCTGTCTGGGATATCTGTCAACAATCAAGCTCTCTCCGTATCTCAATATTTCTCCCCACCAGAATTTATTGCCATGTACACTTACGAGAGTTCTGAACAAGGCGATTTAACCTTTCAGCAAGGGGATGTGATTTTGGTTACCAAGAAAGATGGTGACTGGTGGACAGGAACAGTGGGCGACAAGTCCGGAGTCTTCCCTTCTAACTATGTGAGGCTTAAAGATTCAGAGGTAAACCCACATTAACTGTTTCCTCTCCCTTTCTGGGCAGTGATTCTCTTCACAGGGAGTCACCATGTTTGAAGGTGGACCACTTTTGTTGGGTTTTGCTAAGTCCTGGAATGTGACAGCCAATACAGTGTGACCTGTAATTGTTTGAACTTGTCCTTTGGTGCTGCAGAGTAAGCCCTGGCTTCCCATCTGCAGAAGATCTCCCTAGGGCTGAGCGGAGGCTGCACTGGGATAATCAGCTGGGATAATGTTCAGTATTCATCTCTAGTCCTGCGTGGAACTGACGTAGGATTTGGAGTAAACATTCTTGATGAGGTCTTCATGGTCGCCGAATTGGGACACCCCAAGAAAGATACACAGCAGTATTTTGCCCACGTAAACAAAAGTATTCGGGTGATACTGGCCCCAGAATACTGGGCGTTAGAGAGCTTCTCAAATTTATTTTTGCCTACGCGGTAGGAAGACACAAGGTCCAAGAACTTGGTACACTTTTGGCAAGGCCTTAGTATCTCCGTTGATAAGGGTCTGAGTTTATTGAATTTTAAACGCTGTTATCCTTCTAAATCAGAAATGGCTCCCATTGTTGTTCAGTGGGGCTCCAAAAATTCAGTTGCATAAAATGTGCTCTTGAGATAGTGCAAGTTTAATGAAATGGTGGGGAGGGCCTCCTGAGCATGGGAGCCCATCTCTCGTAGTGGCCAATTTCAAGTTAGTGGAGAATTTCAGGGTAGAAATGTAGTCATTTAACAGATCCATTGCACATAAATAAACCAACGAGAATTGGCTCTTTTTTACTATTTTATTATGTATTTATTTATTTTTAAGTACAGGCAGTAGGTCTCGGTCACTTGCTCTCTTCTCATACCTCCAAGGCACAGAGAGAAGAGGCTGGTAAAGCGCCTAGGGAAGCCACTTTGTCAGGTGTAAGCAAATGGACAGCGCGCCTCTCGTTTGAATGCCAGTAGCAGGGTGCAGCTTGGGCCCCTCCATAGGGCCCGGGCTGCTCTGGGAGTGAGGCTGGACCGGGCGACGTGCTGCAGTGCTGCCACCAACCTCCTCACCTTCCCTGCAGTTCCCATAATAGTTCATTTTGCGTGGGTTTGTTTTGTTAGGGAGCACCTTTATTGTTTGTTGTTTTTTTTTTTTCCCATGCTGTGGTCTTGAGAACAGCTTGCTGAAATTCCCCTGATAGGATTCGCAGAAGTCCGCCTATCCTTGGAGACTCGGGCAGAAGCCAGGAAGAAAGTACCTCTCCCCTGTAAGACAGCCAGCGAATTGTCCTCTGCAGACCTGGAGAGAGGGAATTAAAATCTTCTCCAAGCCGGCCAGTTGGATGCAATAAGAATTATGCAGATGTTTTTTCAGGGGGTGGGGGGAAGGACATTAAATTCGATTTCTGCTACCATGCATGAAATCTCTTAAAGTGGCTTTACCTTTTGGATCAGTTAAAACACAAAAGCCATTACTTACATTTTAATAAATTATATATAGTTTCCTATTAAAAAAACCATCTGAAGTCAGTAAGTTAAAAAAATATATAGTGACATTTTTTAAAGGTAAGCTGAGATGTAAGGGGCTTTCTTAACCACAGTCTTAAATTATTAGCCACAGAAGAACTAGCAGTGCTAAAGATTTGGGACTACATTATTTCATAATAAAAAAAATCTAAAAAGTCAGCTCTTTCATCCTACCTAGACACAGAGTTCAGTGTCTAAGGAAGCTACTCTGCCAAAGGTAAAAACCAGACCCAGCCTCAGATTCCAGAACTGCCCTCTGGGCACAGGAGAGAGAGCTTGTCCTGTCTTGGCCTCCCGTCCCTGTCTGAGAAGGGCTGGGCACCCAGCCTGGGCAGCTCTGCCACAGCTTTCCTGAGTGCCAGGCCAGAACCTGGCCTTCTGAGTATGTCTTAGCTGAGGTACTGGCTGTGATTTAACAGGGAGCACATTGAAGCTACGTGGGTATTGCCAGTTGCTTTGTTCTTTTTATGGAATAGAGGGAGTATATTAGAAGACTGTACTGGGAATGTAACTGGTGGTTTGGACTCTTGTTTCATTAGCATTCCTTTATTTTGATACATAGCCTATAAAAACAGCCAGGGAGATTGGTATTGTATAGCTTGGTGTATTAACACAGAAAGCATAATCAAGAGTAAAAATTTTAACACAAACTTTTCCTGGTAAATGGTTGTAAAATTTCAATAACCAAAATAAAGGAACTGTGATGAGTTGGGTTCCTGGTAGATAAATATTCTTACGGGAACTCTCATTTCGTTTATTAAGACTTTTGTTTTAATTGGAATACTTAATTGACTGCCAGATAGGGGCTGGAGGGTGAAAATTAATTCAGAATAAAGCACTTTATAATGACAGATTACAGCCTGGCCTCTGTCCTGACTCGAGCTCTCTGTTGGCTTACTCAGCTCGTTTAAAATTCCATGCGTATCCATGAAGGAATTCAACTCCAGAGCACTTTTGGAACACTTAGTAGTTGGAAAAAATATGTTCTGCTTGTATGGATTGTGCATCCAGCATGGATAGAGAAATTCAGTGTTTAAACACTTTAAGATTTGAGTAGAAAGGATACACAGAGAGTAGCTGCCTCTTTGGGTAAAGAGGTGAATTGGATGAGGAAAAGGGTGTTTGAATGGCCACTGTACTGTTTTAGTTCTTTGGGGGGGAAAAAAAACCCCTAAAGCAAATGTAGCAAAATATTAATATTTTCATGTATTAAATCTGGATGTTGGGCTCATGGGTGTCAGTACTTTTTATATGTAAAATATTTAATAATTAAGCATTTGAACATAAAGCATGAGCTTAGTGTTTAGGGCGCAGACTAATAGTCCAACTAGTGTGGCACCCTCTGTTTGAGTTGACCCAGGGACAGGATGTTCCTCTGCTACTCACAGTCAGTACCTGAGCCCCTGGGGCCCTAGAGTGAGTGCCGCCTGCTTTGCTAAGTTGTCTTTAGCGAAGAGAGTAAAATCTGCATGTTTTAAAGTGCTTATTTTGTCCCATGATTTTGGGGTGCACACCCTTAACGTCAGGAGATACAGTGCTACCGAGTCCCTAGGATGAAAAGGGGGACTCAGGGGCTCATGTGGGTGTGTGTCGTCACTAATCGTGTTTTTAACTTGCATGATTAAAACTCTTCAGTATGCAAATGAGAACTTTTGCTCTGTTTTAAGGGCTCTGGAACTGCTGGGAAAACAGGGAGTTTAGGAAAAAAACCTGGTAAGTTACGAACCCCGATGCTTATTTTTCAATGTTTTGAATGTAATTGATAGTGGCTCCCAGTTTTTGTTATACTAAGGCTAGAATCCTAAGAAAAAAGACAAAAGAGTCTTTCCTAAGAGTGGTGAGAGATGTAGATCTTTTCCTTGGAATCCATGGGTAATGTGTACATGGTTATGAAACGTGGCTGTTGCTTCACACATGGGGACTGGGGACAGGGTGTTCTCTCGGGCCGTGAAGAACCAGGCAAGATGGCGGGAAGTCGTAGTGCATGGAGCGTAAGATTCGGGGTGAGCTGCTGCTCAGCCATCCTCTCATTCGGCTCAGGAAGCCCTTTTACCTTTCCTGACAGCACATTCAGTCCCAGGCCATAAATAGTGGGGATCAGAGGAGCATGGCTATTATGAGAGCGTAGGTCCCATTAATTTAGAAGCCACTGGGTGGTTTTCCTCAGGTGCACATTGAAGGTACATGATCATAGTCATCGCTCTGAATTCAGTGTTTTCGTTTATTTAAACAAAATCACATGTTCTATAAATAGAAGCATGAAAGAGAGAAGCAGACGTGAATCATATAGTTTGTGTGGCACGTCTTCCTCTCTTCCTCATCTAGGTCATTTGAGCTTTTTTGCTGTTATAGCCCGAGGAAATTATAGGTTGAAAGACTCACCACTGTGCCAAGCAAGGGATTTATTTGTGTATCTGACTGAGTGTGGTGCTCAGCTCCAAATGGCCGTACCTGGCAAGGAAACGTGGGCTTTCAGGTCGTCGTAGGGTTTCAGTCAGACTCGGACCACCAGGGTCGAATCTGTTTTACGTGTGAGTGGTCTGCATTTTGGGTTGTCGTCCCACAGGGTCCAGATGGGCTTAACATTGCACTGAAACCAGCAGGCTTCTCAGGGACGCCAAAGCCAGAAAAGAATGCTGGGGCAGATCGCTGGCTACACGTGCCAGGGCCTTTGAGGAGCAGGAACATCTGAGGCCAAATAGTTACTGATCTGGACTTTGTCCACACCAAAAACTCTTGGACTCAAGAGCTAGTCTTTGGCACGTGAGGGGAGAACTCCTGTCCCCAGCACAGATGTCCCAACTAGAGCTCTCAGCAGAGCCAAAGTATATACGTATGTAAGCTGGGCTCTTTCTCGCTTCCCCGGAGCTCTCTGCAGCGTCTGGCAGGGCCAGGCTGGCACCACGACAGCGTGCGCTCCTAGCATGGTGCCCAGCACTGACTGCAGATCAGGGTAACGGGGGGCAGAGCGGGGAGCTCATATCCCTCTAGAGAAGTAGGATGAGGACTTTTTTACCTCTTTTCTTTCCGTCTTTCTTGACTTCATTCCTCCTTTCCTGCTTCCTTTCTTCCAAGCACGATTGTGACGGGGAGAGATCGTAGAGGAACAGAACAGTTTGTTCTGTATTGCTTCTACAAGTTGCGGGTACGCCAGAATTCAGTCAGAGAAGGATTTTGTCTTTTCGTACTCGACCTCCTGTGCCAGTAGAAATGTGCTTTTCAGAGCCTGGTCTGTGGTACTGCTGGAATTTTTCCCATGAGATTTTTTAACATTCAGGAAAAGTACAGAACTATTTACATTTTTTTTTCTGTGCTCAATTGTTTTTGCATAAAATTCCCATCTTAACCCCAGGTTCCTCCATTTAGCTTGAAATAAAAAGGAGCAAACTCGCATTGACGTGATTCCAACCTGATATTCAGGGATCACCGTCCAAATGTGAGCTGCAAAGAATCTGGTCCCATGGGCGGGGCCGAGAGCCCAGAGCCACAGTGTACATCGGCTGGTGCTGTGCTCCCAAGGGTTTCTGGAGAAAACGGAATTCCTCTTTCTACTGTACATGGCAGGTGGAAAAGCTTCACTTGTGTTCCTTTCATCACTTCCTTCCTTGAGTGCACTGTGTGCTGAGAACTGTGGGGGCGCAGCGGGCGGGTGGAGATGAATGAGGCCCAGCTTTGGGTGTCAGGCAGGGTGTTTATGGTAATGGTGGGAGTGGCTGGGACAGAAGGCGCAGGGATTGGGGACAGGGGGTAGTTTGTGGAGGGAAGTTGGTCAATAAGTTGTGAGAGACGATGAGGGGTCCTAGGGCGGGCTGGGCAGAACCAAAAGATCAACCAAGCCCTTGAATGCTGCCTTTGTGATGTCAGCCGTGGAATGGGGGGACGATTGAGTGAACCTTCTTCATTTAGCAGAAAACTAGCCAATAGATTGGCATTGATGATGTGAATCTGTGAATCTGGGAGGTGGCTGTGTTGTCTTAGCATTTCCTTCTCCTGACTATACGAGTGCACCATGATGTTTGATCTTGTTTTTCAGAAATCGCCCAAGTTATTGCTTCCTACACCGCTACGGGTCCTGAGCAGCTCACCCTGGCCCCTGGCCAGCTGATTCTGATCCGAAAAAAGAACCCAGGCGGATGGTGGGAAGGAGAGCTGCAAGTTAGTGTCTTTTCTGTTTGTTTGAAAGTCTCTGTCCAAATTTGAGTATGCAAAATCTCAAAGGGATGCGGTTTCATTGCAAAGTAATCCTGCATTTGGATAGCGAGAGACAGACATATTATCCAAACCTGTGTGGTTCCTAAGCTTTGGACAGCTAGTAGCAGAATTGTGAGAGCTAAGGATTCTTCTGAAGATTTACCCAAATCTGTTGGTTCCTGCGTCAGCAGGGAGTGTTCATAATGAGGAACCCCTGCATAGAAGCCATCCTTAAGCGTCAGGGCATTAGAGAAACAGAGCTTCCCACTCGGGCATTAGAAGGTGAGGTATAATAGCAGGTTTCTGTGTGTGTTCAAAGCCACATCTATCTGTACCTCACAACATTTTTAGTTTCCGTGTGTGTGTGTGTGTGTGTGTGTGTGTGTGTGTGTGTGTGTCCATCCTCAGTTCACCATTTTGTTGATGCAGACCTTTGTCAAGGAGAGGGAGATCTGTACTGTGGTAAGGTGAAGACATGAAGACATACAGCACCTTTCTGTGCATATGGGGCAGCTAATTAAAAAATAAAGTTCCTTAAGAGTGAAGAGTGAGCCAGTGGACTAAAGAAATGAGTCTTGGCCGAAATGGAAGGCACAGCCTTGAGTGAAACCAAAGATGAAACTCGCCCTGGGGAGCTCGCTGGTGGGCGGCCATAAAAACCCTGTCTGACCAGATACAGCGTACTGGCTTGAGGACGTGACCTGGAGTCCTAGGGCCCGTCCCCTCCCCTTTCAATGTGTCTCTTCCTTTGCTGGGTAGGGAGAGACCTTCCTCAGGCCTGTGGGTCGCACTCCCTGTATAGAGTTGGCTGTCATCACCCTATTGGCCTTCTGATCCATATATGTCACTTTCCTGTCCTAAAAACTTGAGTGACTTCCACTGCCCCTCCTCAGCCTGCCATGAAGGCGTCCTACAGGTGCCTCGTCTCAGCTGTACATCTTACCGGTCTCACCACATATCAGCGACATCTCCCCTCCAGCCTCATTTGGTGATTTGCTTGCTTGAAAACAAGGTAACTCCCCGGACTCTCATGCCTCCTCATTGCCTTTACTCATCACATGTCTCCCCAAGTGGTGGTCTCCGACCTCTCCCTCATCCTCTAGAGCTGACCAAGTGCCACTTCTTCTAGAAGCTTTCTGTGACCACCCTACCACAAGTGACATCTCCTTCCCCTGAACTGTAGTGGCTCCAATGCCTGTACCGCTCTTGACAATTAATATTGCTGCTGATATTGTTAGCTTTCCATAGGTTTTTCTGATTTCCGCATGTAGGTTATCGGCTCCTTGAAGGCAGCAACCACACTTTTTTTGTCCTCACACTCCTAGTCCTTGCTCAAAAGAGATTTTTGAAGGGGTCTTGGACTCCACAATAAAGTGGGTGAATTGTCATACCCAGAGTTTCTCTCATTGTGGATACGCACATGAAAGAAATTGCCAGTTCTGTTGCCAGTTCAGAGCTCTGTTCTGCCCATGTGAAGCTGCAGGGGTGGGGGAGGGCGGTCAGTGTGAGCCCTGTGGCATATATAAGATGGATGAACCATGTGGGAACTTGTAAACGAGTGGCTTCAATCATTGGGGAGCTCACTGTGAAAATAGAAGCTTTAGTCCTTGAGCCAAGGGCAAGAAGTCTGTCAGACAGCAAGGAAAGGGAAGTGTGATCTGTGGTCTAAAAGTCACCCCAGGTATCCGTGATAAAGTGGCCGATGGGAGAGCAGAGGTAAGATGGTGGGAGTTTCCTTTTCTCTTAATTTTATGTCCTTTATATCCTGTATCCTTTTGGAATAGGTAATATATTCACATGGTAAAATTCAAAAGTTACAAAAAGGGATTCAAATGTCTCCCACCCCTGTTCCCAAAGGCAACTGTTTTTTTTATTAGAACCTTGCTTCTGGGGAGAGAGAGAGAGAGACAGACAGACAGACAGACAGACAGACAGACAGAGAAAACTGTTGTGAGTTCTCTGTTTCTGGTGGAATGTAGAAGGGTAATCATAGCACTTCTAGCTAATCATGATCCCTAACAAGAATCTCTTGCATCTCATAGAATTGTACCATGGTTGCAAGTCTTGGCTCACCAACTTTATAAGTTCCTCTGTGTCATATACTACCCCTTTCCAGCAATACCTGGCCTGTAAACACTTAAAAATGGATCTTGTGTTGAATTAGGTCAAAGTGAGGGAGAAAGGAATGGAAGTGAAAAATGTGGCTGTAACCACCATGTAGCCTTGATGGTTTTTGAAAACAATGTCAAGTTTGGACTCCTTGTGTTCTATGTATATTGCATATATACATCTTTATGTACAGTTGTCTATTATCCATAAGAAGAGTGCAGACATGACTGTGAATCTTGGCTTGCCACTAACTAGCCTGTAGTCTTGGGACTGTCACTTAACTTTTCTGAGCCTTGCTTTCTTTATCTGGGAAATGGGAATAGTAGTAGCATTATCCTTTTGGGACTGTGCCGATAAATGCATATAAGATGCTTAGCACAGGCCTGGCTCATGAAAAGCACCCAATGAGTATTGACTGCTATTATTATTCCTAAAATCCACACATAATGTTGACATTAGCCATAATCTTATACGAGTATCACCTGAAATTAACAGCTGAGAGCTGACATTACGTGAGCAGTGTTCGATCCTGTATGCACTGCTTTATACTCTGAATTGTGACCCATACAATCCAGCCCATGCAAAAGCATTTCAGGTTTTGCTGACCAATGACCACAATTTGACTTTTAGCTACAGTGTTTTCATCTTGTAACACAGTAATCCATAAACTCTACTGTTAATGCCATTTGTTTTCCGGTTATATGTAAACCCTGTGTTAAGTGCTGTCACAAAGCAAACTAGACCATGAAAGAACATGAGCCTTTTAAACATTTGATATAATTTTTTTTTTCACTAGGCACGTGGGAAAAAGCGCCAGATAGGCTGGTTTCCTGCTAATTATGTAAAACTTTTAAGCCCCGGGACGAGCAAAATCACTCCAACAGAGCCCCCTAAACCCACGGCATTCCCAGCAGGTAAGCAGTTCTCCGTCTCTACTTGGAAGATGGTCCGCATGTCATGTTAGTCTTTCCACTCCGTTTTCTCATGAAGTAGCTTAGATGGTTTCTCACATCTGCTGCAAGGGCTTCTTTTACTTGCTGGGACTGACACCCAACTAATGTGATATGGAATATGCTTTTCAAAAGGACCAAATATCTAAGCAGCTTCGCCGCGCTGGGTACAACAGAGCCCTTGTTGGGACTTGCTTCCGAAAGGACTTGTGAATGCTGTGGCATTAAAGCCCGATTTTTTCTCTTGATTTCCTTCCAGCTATTTAAATTGGGGTTTGGGCTAGGGGGTGAGGGGACAAAAAGGGACTTCTAAAAATAAATGGCTGGGGTCTAAATAGGTCAGGAGATTGAGCTGGAGGCCACAGGGTTCTGCTGGTGGTAATGTGCTGCTCGCGGAAGACTGAAATAACGCCCCGTGACATTTCCTGTGAACAGAGGGGCTTCGCTTAATGGGCAGGATGTCGCACACACCCCTTACAGGACTAGGAGGAACAGAGGGCGCTGCCACTGAGCCAGCTGGCTGGTTTTGATTGAAGAGACCAAAGTAGATGCTTCGGTACTGGTTGAGATGGGTGAGGTTGGGGGGGGGGGAGCGAAGTCCGCGTTAGGTCTTTAAGCCACCAATTTATGGGTGGCATTTGTGGAAAATGCAGAATTTTCATTCCAGCACCTGTGGTTAAATGTCTGTGCTGTGCATCCCCGGTGGAATAAGATTAGAACTTGGCAGCCTTTGCAAGGAATGAAAGGATTGGCAGACTTGGTGACTGATTCCTGACCCCAGCTGGGCCTCTTTGCTTGAGCTGTGGCTTCGTATAGGCAGAGGGGTGTGGTGCCAGCGGGACCTCCTCTCTCTTGGGGAGGCCTGGCCCGTGTCCCCTTCATCAGGTTGGTTGAAACCCACAGAAATAATTTGCTGAATTAGCTGGAGGGTTTGAAAAGCCTAAACCTATATATAGGTTGGTTAAGAAAGATGAATTGGGGATGCAACCTAGCTATGCAGACATATCTGAAGTGTAAAAATGCCAGGGAATGAAAACAACTTTATCTCCTGTAAGTCTGAGAGAAAATGAGGAATTTTCTTGAATGTGGAAATTTCTTTCTTTGAGACAAAACTTCCAGATGCAAAGATACAGCGCATAAAACACTTGATTTTACTCTTCACTAAGATTAGGAATTTTTGGCGGTCAAATGATAATCACCTTACACCTTAAAAACAAAACAAAACAAATATGGTTAAGTGTCCATGATACACAGCCGTCCTCTACAGTTGGGCCAATCTTTCAGAGTCAGATTTTTAAAGGCGTTCCACTGCACTCAAATTTAGAAGCGATTCCATGGAAGCATTCACTTATCACTGTAAATGTTCTCCTGACAAGTAAACATGAAAAAGAGGAAGATATTGTAAAAACCAAAGTCTTCGTGTGAAATTCTTGCCGCTGTCTTGGTTTTTAATCCTTCGTCCTCCTCTATCGCCCACACTATACAAAGCCCATCAGAGCGCCTCCGCTTACCTTTTACCCTCTTCGGGAAGGAGAAAAAGAATACATGCGAGTGTGTAGTGCCCCCCGCGTTGCCCGTCCCACGTGCTGCGCAGGCGCGCAGCCGCTCACCCGGCCCTGTCTCCTGCAGTGTGCCAGGTGATCGGGATGTACGATTACACCGCCCAGAATGACGACGAGCTAGCCTTCAACAAGGGCCAGCTCATCAACGTCCTCAACAGGGAGGACCCCGACTGGTGGAAAGGAGAAGTCAGCGGCCAAGTGGGGCTCTTCCCGTCCAATTACGTGAAGCTGACCATGGACATGGACCCGAGCCAGCAATGTAAGTGCCCTGGGGCCCTGCGGCCTCTCCTGTCTGGTACCTTACGGTAAAACATGCAGCATTGCTCTGATTCTGCTGAGCTTTGTTTGCAGAACTTAAAGCGAGACCATTGCTGCATTGGCACCAGTCTCTTTGAAGACCTTCTGTAATGCGAGACTTTATCTTGTGGGGTTGTTTTTGTTTTTTTTTTTTCATTCCTTCTGTAGCATGTCCCTTCCCTCCCCTCCCCCCCTTTCCTTTTTTTTTTTTTAAATCATTTTGGCACCATGCTGTTTACATGCCTGACTCATTTTCCTAGCTTGAATTTTGCTCATTGTTTTGTTTTGCTTATGTGTTGTTTTCCTCCTTTTTCTAGGAATCATATGTTGTCCATCCCCCCCTCAGGCTTGAAAGTCCTCAAAGAGACCCACTATCCCATATCACTGCCCAGAGGGATGATGGGAGATGCAGCCTTGATCATGTGACTTCCAGCATGATCACCTACTGCCTTCTGAGTGGAAGAACTCACTGCAGAGCAGTTTACCTCATTTTACCTTAGTTGCATGTGAGGGCAATGTGGAGTTATTACTTGCAGAGATAGAAGCAAAAATTACAGAAATACACAGGGTAGTGGGTCCTTTTGTGGCTTTCCTAGTGACTCAAATTGACTTCCCCCCACCTTGGCACAGGTGCTTTCAATAGTTTTAAAATTATTTTTAAACATATATTTTAGCCTTTTAATAAAATCAATCAATAAATAAATTACTTCTTTGCTATTTTGGTTTTGCAAAAAGACCCACTATCAAGGAATGCTGCATGTGCTATTAAAAAAAAAATGTTCCAAATGTCCATAGATCTGAGACTTGATGTATTCTTTTCATTTTGTCCAGTGTTACCAACTCAATTGTGTAGTTGGGGTTTTCCCCCTGCTGTAGAAGTACAGAGGAGTTCAGTATATCTGTTTTAAAGACATGTAGAATGAGCCCAATTAAACAAAAGGTGATTTGTGCTTGTGTGTGTGTTTCAGATGTACCTTGTTGAGCATGTAATAATACATCCTGTACGTTAAGAAATTAGTTCCTTCCATGGCAGAAGTTATTACCTTGTACGATGCTCTAATCATATTGCATTAATTTTATTTTGCACAGTGACCTTTTAGCCACATGAGAAAGCACCTGTGTTTTTTGTTCGGCCTCAGATTTATCTGGTTGAGTTGGTGTTTTCTGTTTTGGGTTTTTAATTTTGTGTGTTTTCATACCATAAATCAGTAGGCAGCACCATCGAGGGTGTTATGATCAACAACACCTACAATCTCTTCTTAGTCTCTGTTACATGAAGTTTTATTCCAGTTACTTTTCATGGAATGACACATTTTGAACAAGTAATTTTCTTGACAAGAAAGAATGTATAGAAGTCTCCCTGCAATTAATTTCCAATGTTTACATTTTTTAACTAGACTGTGGAATTTCTACAGATTAATATGAAATGGAGCTCATGGTCCGTTTACGTGTTAGATGTGTTGTAGCTGAAGCCATGTTTGTCTTTTAAACACTAGTTGGAAGCTCTCAATAAAAATGCCCATTGCTGACAGCACAGGAAACGGGGTGGGGGTCCTCAAGCACAATCTAGCAGTTCTACTAATGACTTTTTAACTCGTAGTGACCTGTTTTTACGTCTCTCCCTTTGGGGATCCTGTGCTGGCAGTTGTGTCGAGGTCCCTCTCCACTCACGTGGTGCTGAGGACGAGGACTTCTTGTTCACTTGCGCTTCAGTATTTTCATGGATATGAATGTAAAATATATAAATATATAAACCTGCGGCTTTAACAACTGTAATACAACCTTTTGGATTAGTTACGTGTATAGATAATTAAATTCTTCATATAAAAGTTAGATGGAAATGTCTCTGTGTTCTTGATGTTGGAACCTGGCAATGGTGACGGGACACCGAGCAGACTAGATGTCCGCAGGTGGGTGGCCTGCTGCCTGCGTGCTGATCACGACCCGTGCTCTTTGAAATACAGACATCATGAGATCCTCACTGAGTCTTCTTTGAACGGCCCTCCCTCTCACCTTGCTACCCGCCTCTCCCTGGTGAATATGTAAACCATTTCCCCTAAGAATACTGGCTTTGAAGACTAGAACTTCCACCCAGTTTAGCGGTTAACTTATCTTATTGGGCTTCCGGTATATAATATGGATACATTGACAGATGTGTGATTTGACTCAGGGTACAAAACATTTGTCCAAAAGATGTATCATAATAAGGGTCTGTTGAACATCCAAAAAAATGTGGGTAAAGATGGAAACTTGCACCCCTTCCATACTGTTGTTCGCCATCCGTTTCTGCCCCACACACTCCACTCTTGTCGCCTTGGCAGCAATAAACCAGTGTACACATTGATGAAACTGTTTGCTGTAATGACCATGTGCTTGATGCTGTCCATGAACTTTGCTATTGGTCCTCCTCTGCCACGCGGTGGAATACAGCAAATCTTTGGGGGAAGAGGTCCATGGGTGTGAATGCTCTGCTGGGTTCTGGGTTCAGCCGGTAGACAGGGTTCCTGTCTTCATGGAGTTCATACTCTAATGGGAGGAACCAGCAGAAAACCAAACTACTGCAGTAAATATCAATATATATGGTGTGTTGTGAGTTGAAGTGGTACTAGGAGAAGTCAGGACACAAGGTACCGCTGAGCCGGACATCCAGAGCAGTGGGGCTGGGAGGATGGTGTCAGGGACAGATCAGAGAACCCTTCCTGGAAAAAGTGGTATTTAAGCTGAGACCTGAAGGACAAGTAGGATCCAGATGAAGCGGGAAGAGAACTGGCTATTCTAGGCAGAGGTGTCGTGCAAAGGCCCAGAGGTGGGCAGAGTGATCTCCGTCACTGTCCCCCAGCCCACTCCCTCATGGAGCAATGATTGAGGCCATAAGCCCCATCTCTTGCCCAGGACCCCTTCACCTGTATAAGCCAGTGTTTCTTCCCAGCCTTGAGTTTGGCTAGAAGGGATCCGATTGTCAAGGTGGGTACTGCTCTCTACTACTGTATATAACTCTTCCTCTCAATACTACCATGTCCGTAGAACATTCCTCCAGGCTCTCCTCTGGTTTGTGAAGCTGACACAGGTTGTGCCCCCAGGAAACCGCTCTTCTCCCATCACATCATTCAGCTTGCATTTGATTGTAGAGTAGCCATCTGATCTAGTGCCCTCAACCAGAGTAAGGCTACTGCCATCTAGTGGGTGGAGGCCAGAGATGCTGCTGAACATCCTACAGTGCAACAGGACAGTCCCCCACAACAAAGACTTCTCTGGCCCCAGATGTCACCAGTACCACGATTGAGAAACCCTGGACTCACCTCTGGCCACTGTGGTTAATGTTCACCTGCTTGTTCGTGGCCAAAAAGGTCATCCTGTTGGGAGCTGCTGAGGGTGTTCTGGTAACTGCCATTGAGTAAACATATTTAATAAGTGCATACCATATATCTGCAGCATAAAGTGTCCCTGAACCTTGGTTTTGTATTTTGAACTTGACCTTATTCTTCTTGGTTATTCCTCATACTCTCTGTAATTGGGTACTAGATTAAATTCCTTTAGTCATGTTATCAGAGAATCCGGTTAACAAAAAGTTGAATGAAGTGGAGAGACAGCATCTTAGTTCTTATTAAATTAGTGAAGGGATATTGGGTATCTACTTTGGCTCCAGAGTTTAAAGATGTCAGTGTTTTAGGGTTTTTAAAAGCTATTTGTTTAACACTATTAATTGGTCATTATGTCATTTAATGTGATGATTGGTGTTGATTTGCCTGTGCGAATGCATTAGCCGCTGAACTTTGGGTACAGTTTTGCTCCAGTGGCATATGGACAAGAAGAGAGCAAATGAGATCGCCTTCCTTTTGCAGTTTTGAATTGCTTTCCTAAGGCTGGTGCACCTCCACATGGCAGGGGGCAGGGCCCAGGAGTGGAAGGAAAGGAGTGGAGGGAGGCCCAAGCCCCAGACAGCCCCAGCATTAGAGGTGTCTGGGAGAAGATGATCTAAAGCAAGCATGCATTCCTCTGTCAAGTTACAGGGTGTTACACCATTACATGTAAGGGGGCAACGTATCCAGCTTCTGGAAGAGAACCGGGCAGACCCAGACTCCCGTAGTAAATGGTGACTGGGTTCTCTGCGCCTTTGATACCAGCAGAAGGAAAACCTAGTAACACGAGCTTAGGAAAACCCTCAAGGTAATCGGTTTAACCATACGAAATTGCCAATATTTCTGTTTCCTAACCTACAAAGCTGCAGTTTCACGTGGTTCAACCTAATACATGTGATCGCGTGGCACATAGGTTAGCGCCTTCAAAATGCCTGTTTAAGGACGGGGTCCGGCGATTCATGAATGTGAAGGAGGCCCGGAGTTCCAGTCCCTGGCACACACTAACTGTATCACCCTCAGAGGAAACCAAGCAGTCTCTCCAGTTTCCTTCCCTTTCAGATGTGAGCTTCCCAAAAGCAACAGTACCCTTGGAAAGGGGTGCTCCTGGATCAACTGCTCATTTGGTCTATGCAGGAGGTGAAGGACCAGGGATGCCAGGGTGTCACCACCGTTGTCTGGGTCAGGTGTCCACTCCAGCATGGGGTGGGGGAGGCACCCATCCCTCCAGATCTGATTTGAGAACTGTCCTAGCAAATCAGTCAGTCCTGCGTCCCGGGAAATTGAGTAATTTCTGAGAGAAAGTGAATAGTCATTTTTTTCTTCTAGCAAAAATTATAAGTTAATTCTATTCATTCTTTTTACTTCCAAAAATACCCAAGAGAATTTTTATGGAAACTACATTGAATGCCAGCGGTCCCAAAATGCACAGAAAAAAAAATAGCCCCTTCTTCAAACTATCTGATTTTTTTGGATCTGGTAGGATCAGGAAACCTAATAAGGTCAAAGATTACAACAGCTGTATGTGAATATTTCACTTCACCCCGAGTCCTCTTGGGCCTTTCTTTAAGAAAATGTCACACATAAAAACCAGACTGCTGGACTG